CCACAATCACCAAGCCCACCCGAGTCACTCAAACATCTGCCACTACCCTGGATCACCTATGGACTAATATAACAGCTCCCCTTACATCTGGGGTAATTTATGACAGAACAACTGACCAATATCCTTCTTTCCTCATAGCAAACATTGACACATCACCGCCAGAAACCAAAAAACTTTCATTCAGTCTACATAGTGAATCAGCTTTAGGCAATCTCTCTAATGCACTCCACAATATTAACTGGGAATCTGAATTTAATAATTCACAGGATATAAACTCATCAACTAACCTATTTCTCTCCAAAACTCTAAGCCTCTACAACACTCACTGTCCCCTCCTTACCAAACAAGTAACTGATAAAAGAAAAAATAACCCGTGGCTCACAAGTGGCATAATTAAATCAATCAACAAAAAACATGAATACGAAAAGAAATTTAGGAGTTGCCTAGTTTCAATGGAAGTAGTTAAAAGGTACTCGTCAGTGCTTACCAGTATCATAAGAAAAGCAAAACTTTCATATTATGAGACTAGATTCAAAGAAGCAAAAGGCAACATGAAAAGCACATGGAATACCATCTCTAACTTCCTGGGAACTAAACAACACTCCCACAACCAGATAACACTCTCTAAGGATGGCCTTACACTGTCATCTGACTTAGAAATGGCGAATGAATTTAATAGCTTCTTTTCATCGATTGGTGCTAACCTTGCAAGTAAAATCCCACAGACTCAGACACATATCAACACATATCTCTCAGGCAGCTATCCAAACTCTCTTCTCCTCTCACCAGTCAGCCCGTCAGATGTTGTGTCCATCATACACTCACTAAAACCCAAAGCTGGGAACATCAGTGAAATCCCATCCATTGTATACAAGAGTGCCTCCCATACCCTTGCGCCACCTATAGCTCTGCTGTTCAACAAATCCCTTGAGTGTCATACCTTCCCTGATATCCTTAAAAAAGCAAGAGTAACGCCAGTTCATAAAGGAGGTAATCCGTCAGACATAACCAACTATAGACCAATATCGAACCTACCCATACTATCAAAAATATTTGAAAAAATTATCTACAAACCTACTCCTATCTCGTAAAATTCGACATTCTTAGCCCCTGTCAGTTTGGATTCCGCTCTCAAAAGAGTACCAACGATGCAATTATTAGTCTCCTTGATATAATTTACTCAGCTCTTGACAAAAATGAGTTTCCAATTGGACTCTTCATTGACCTGAGAAAGGCCTTTGATACTGTTAATCACGATTACCTCTTAAGTAAACTCCATCATTATGGAATCCGAGGCCATGCACTGGACTATATCCAATCCTATCTTAGTGATAGACACCAATGTGTAGCCATCAATAATATAATCTCTCCCATTCTACCAATAACTGTTGGAGTGCCACAGGGCAGCATCTTGGGACCTCTTCTTTTTCTTATATACATTAATTTTGTTTGCTGATGATACTACCCTCATCTACTCCAACCCCAACCCACATACACTAAATGGTGTTGTTAATAATGAACTAAAAAAAGTCCACTTATGGATGTCAACCAACAAACTAACACTTAACATAGAAAAGACCTACTACATCCTATTCGGAAGCAAATCTACAAATGCAATTCAGCTTCAGATTGACAATGTAAACATTAGCAATAAAAATGATGGAAAGTTTCTTGGCATATTCCTAGACAAGAGACTCAACTTCAGTACCCACATACAACACATAACTAAGAAAGTCTCTAAAACAGTTGGTATACTCTCCAAAATCAGATATTATGTTCCTAACTCTGCTCTCAACACTCTTATATTATGCACTAATCTATCCCTATCTCAACTATGGTATCTGTGCATGGGGTTCAACCACTGCAAACCACCTCAAGTCCATCATCACCCAGCAAAAATCTGCTATCAGAATAATATCAAATTCTGCTTTCAGACAACACACAGCCCCCTTGTTTAACTCCCTAAACATGCTAAACATAATCTCACTCCACAAATTCTCGTGTCAACTACATTTACAAAACCCTGTTCTTAAATGCAAATCCTTGTCTGAAACTCTCCTTGGACAGATGTAATAGGACCCATTATCACCACACCAGAAATAAATATCTCTTTGATATCCCCAGAGTTAAACTTAATCTGTGTAAACACTCTATGCAATTAAAGGGACCCAGTTTATGGAACTCACTCCCTACTGAATTGAAAAGCTGTCCAACTTTTACATAATTCAAAATCAATACTAAAAAGTACCTAATTTCATCTTCATAGTTTTTCACTTTTTGCCTTAAAATTGCACTTTATCAATTGCTACCCAATCTCCCAACCTTTATGTTCCCGATTTGAACATCTTTACCATTGTGATCATTGCTGTTTTCTTATATGTGCTGCCAATCTGTTGTATGGTGTTTATAAATCTTGTTTATCTGTATCTTTTGCTACCCAGTCTCCCAATCTTTATGTACCCAATCTGAACATCTTTACCATTATAATCATTGCTGTCTTATATGTGCTGTCAATCTGCTGTATGGTGTCTATTAACCTTGTTTAAATTACTAATCAAGCTGTCAATGTAATCAATCAGAGCTTTAATATAATAATGTGCTTTAATATACCTACTTATCTCTCTCATCTCATTTTTCTCTTGTAATGTATCTTTATCATTTATCAATTCTGATTGAAATTACCTATTTAAAATTATCTGCTAGATTAAGGACCTGCCCGAAACGCTGTGCGTACCAGTGGCTTTAAAAGAATGTAAATACTGTACTATCCAATGTATTCTCACAAACCCAATGTACCTTCTTGTATATATATAAATAAATAAATAAATAAATAAATAAATAAATAAATAAATAGTTTAGCAGTTACCAGGGAGGATGTTCTTAAACAAATAGTAAAACTCAAACCAAACAAATCCCCAGGGCCGGATGAAGTGTTTGCCAGGGTGCTTAAAGAATGCAAAGAGGAGCTTTGTGACCCACTGTCAACCATATTTAATAAATCAATAGTCAAGCAGAGTGCCAGAGTTTTGGAAAGTTGCTAATGTGGTACCAGTTTTTAAGAAAGGAGATAGATCACTTGCTTCTAACTATCGACCAATTAGCCTAACGTCTATTGTGGGAAAGTTACTCGAATCTATAATAGCAAATAAAATTCGTCTTCATCTTGAAAAACATAAATTAATAATTGAGTCGCAACATGGTTTTATAAATGGCCGTTCATGTTTAACAAATTTGTTATCTTTTTATTCTAGCATAGTTGAGGCAGTTGATAGTGGTAAGGATTGTGATGTTGTGTACCTTGACTTTAGCAAAGCTTTTGATACAGTGCCACATGAAAGACTGATTAAAAAGATAGAGTCTCATGGTATTGGGGGTGCTATATTAAGTTGGATTAGGGCATGGCTATACCAAAGGAAACAGAGAGTTAGTATAAATGGAATCAAGTCAGAGTGGGAAAATGTTGTAAGTCGAGTGCCTCAAGGCTTTGTCCTGGGACCTCTGTTGTTTATAATATATATAAATGATTTAGATTCAGGTTTGAGTAGCAACATTTGCAAATTTGCCGATGATACGAAAATCGGCAGGGAAATTAATTCGGAGGAGGACTCACTATCACTTCAAGTTGATCTAGAAAGGGTTTTGAAATGGTCAAAGGATTGGCAGATGCAGTTTAATGCTGATAAATGTAAAGTTCTGAGGTTAGGTAATGATGATACAGTTACAAGATACGAGCTAGATGGTGTTGAGATTGCGAAGTCGGATTGCGAAAGGGATCTGGGAGTTATGATTAGTAAGAATTTAAAACAAAAGGCTCAATGCATAAATGTTCGTAATAAGGCAAATCGGACACTTGGATTTATTAATCGCAGCGTTAGTATTAAGACTCCTGGTGTGGTTCTCAAGCTATATCTTGCTCTAGTTAGGCCCCATTTAGATTATGCAGTTCAGTTTTGGTCGCCATATTATAGAATGGATATAAATTCACTTGAACGTGTCCAGCGTAGGATGACTAAGTTAATTCCCCAAATTAGAAATCTTTCATATGAAGAAAGATTAACAAAGCTTAAGTTGCATTCACTGGAAAGGCGAAGAGTTAGGGGTGACATGATAGAGGTTTACAAGTGGGTGAATGGACATAACAAAGGGGATATTAATAGGGTATTAAAAGTATCAACACAAGACAGAACACGAAACAATGGGTAAAAATTGGATAAGTTTAGATTTAGGAAAGACTTGGGTAAATACTGGTTCAGTAACAGGGTTGTTGATTTGTGGAACCAATTACCGCGTAACGTGGTAGAGGTGGGGTCCCTTGATTGTTTCAAGCGATGGTTGGACATGTATATGAGTGGGACTGGGTGGTTATAGATATGAGCTGCCTCGTGTTTGCCAATGGGCCTTCTGCAGTTACCTTTGTTCTTATGTTCTTATGTATGAAACAATGGGTATGAATGGGATAAATTTAGATTTAGGAAAGACCAGCGTAAATACTGGTTCGGTAACAGGGTTGTTGATTTTTGGAACCAATTACCGCGTGGCGTGGTGGAGGTGGGGTCCCTTGATTGTTTCAAGTGAGGGTTGGAAATGAATATGAGTGGGATTGGGTGGTTATAAATAGGAGCTGCCTCGTATGTGCCAATAGACCCTCTGCAGTTACGTTCATTTTTATGTTCTTATTTAAGGAAGAAAATCAGTTTAGAGGAAGTCACTCCACAATAAGCTTTTGGGTTTGTCTTGGAAATAGAGTGATTGATTTATTGAGGGCGATTTGATTGAAGGCGATATAAATTGAAGCTGCCTGGGATTGACCAATTAGCCTTCTGTAGTTTATGTTCGTATTTGTGTCATTCACTTCCCTTTTCACTTCACCTGGTTGTATAAAAGTCGACGTTGGGATCAGTTTTGCTACATGAACTTCTTCGTCCTGAGTAGCTAAAGCTTTAACAACAACATCAGTTTGGTCAGTTCCATCAGTTGGTTAGTGTAACTATTACACCAACATGAAGGCTACTCTATTGAGTAGCGCTTACCTTGATGACCTTGTGTCCCAGAGCCAACATATTAGCCAGGGCGCTTATGGTACTGTGGGGCGCGTTCCCTGGGACGGTGGACATGCCATCTTAAAGATGATGAGGAATGCCTCTGAGATGGACTTCAGGAGAGAGCTGGTTATCATGGAAAGATTGAATTCTGCTGGAGGAGCTCCCAAGATCCTGGGAGTATGCTACAACCCAAGAGCCATAGTGATGTCTTCCCGGGGCGAGTTAACACTCACCAGAGCCCTCCTGCGGAACATACCGGACTGGTACTTGGTCTATATTGCTCTGAAAATTGGTCAGCGCCTGCGCGAGGTCCACGAGCGGGGAGTTGTACATGGTGACATCCACGGCTCTAATGTCATGGTCACCCTCTCTCCTGACTTCAGTAAACCACCTGAAGTATTCCTTATTGACTTCGGAATGTCGGGATTCAGTCCACAGGCTCTGTCAACCTTAAGCCCAAAGGACCTGGCAGATTTGGGGGATACACAGATGGTCCAGGGAAACCTGACATACTCCCTAGATATTAAGTGTTTGGGCATGATGCTCCTAGAAATATTTAGCATAATGAAGATTGCCCTCGAGTCTATTATGAAAATAATTGAAATGGCAACACTATGTGAGATTGAGCCAGCTCCCCTCGACGATCTTCTCGACAAGTTGAACTCTGTACTTACTAACAACTTCAATATTAACCCCCGGTGCCTCTGAGCCCTGCTTCTTCCTTCTACTTAAGTCTTACCATGAACTTGTGTCCCATGAAATTGTAACAATGATTGTAAGGAATTTTTGTGTAATAAAAAAAACATGAAATTGTAACAATGATTGTAAGGAATTTTTGTGCAATAAAAAACCATGAAATTGTAACAATGATTGTAAGGAATTTTTATGTGTAATAAATATTGATGGATAATAGTTTGTTTAACTTTTAAAGCATATAGAGTAAGAATAACCGAGTTGGATTGAAGCCATGATCAATGCATTAATGTAAAGGATAATGTCAGTAGGTTACCGGGATTCATTACTAGAAGCATTAGTAATTTAGATTATGCAGGTCAGTTTTGGTCACCGAACTACAGACTGAAAATAACTTGAAACCTTCCTTTGAAAGATTACTATAAATGTTTATTAATTGAAGAGCTGAAGGGAAAGGTGGCAAATCGGAAACAAACCAAGACGATATAAATAAGGTTATAAATGCGAACAAGCCTGAATGGTCCCCAGGACTATATGCGAATGAAAACTCACAAAATTTGGGAACAAAAAGCCCAAAATAAAGAGAGCTTCACAATCTCCCAAACCACCCAAGGCAAAGAAAGCTGTCAAGAAAACAACAAAGGCAAAATAAACGACGACATGCAAGCAGCATGAATACACATGACAATAAACATCCAGGCCTCCCCCCTCAGTGGAGGGGCCTCATATGATTCCAAAAAGAGTTTTGTTTTGTATCTTATAAAGGTTATAAATATATCAACACGAAAAAATGTATATAAATTGGATAAGTTTAGATTTAAAACAGACCAGGATAAATTTTGATTTGGAAATAATGTTGTTGACTTATGGAACAAGTTAACGGGTAACATTTTAGAACGGTGATCGCTTGTTTCAAGAGTAGGTTAGTCATATGAGTGAATTTGGTGACACATAAATAGCTGCTGCCTCGTATGGTTCAAAAGGCCTTCTGCAGGGCAAGCAAGGCAAACCCTAAAGGTTTTTTTTTTCAATTATATCGATCAAAGGTTAGGGAAAGGAAAGGTACCAGGGTACCTTCAAATCAAGTCAAACAAATATAATCATTTCAATATAATCAAACAAATTTCCGGACGAAGTATTTGCCAGAATGCAAAGAGGAGCTTTGTTAGCCTGTAACAATCTAATACTTGGAAGTATAATATCACTGGTTCGCCATATGAATAACATAAATAATGATTAAAGATAACTATCTTTATCTATGATTAAAGATAACTATCGACTTGAGAATGGTCCAGGACGGACCGAAACGTCGTCGTCCCTTCACCTTCAAGTGTGTGGTCTGGTCAACATACTTCAGCCACGTTGTTGTGACTCATCGCCTACACGAAGATAGCTATTGATTTGTCCAATGATTCTAACATTCTTAAACCTATATTATTTGCAAACGGTACTACAATATACTCTTTCATCTTACCTGATGTTACATTAAGGACCTGCCCGAAGCGCTATGAATGTTAGTATCTGGAGAGAAATAGAGATCTTAAGTGTATTATCTTATAAAATCTTAAACAATATTTACAGTTGAGTGTAACCTGGTAATACTAGTCTCACCCTAAACCAATGGTACTCTCAAGGAAATCCTTATCTCAATTCAAAGGAGAATTGAGATAAGCCACCACACCATTACATTCATTACTACAAGAATATTGATAATTAATGGATCGCCAATGGTTTATGGGGGGAAACCACTGCACCCTTTATATCAAACTTTATATTAAACTTTAGCTTAATATCAACATCAACAACTTGATGTTGATATAAGCATCCAGGAGAAGGGTTTTGATAATTACTACTAAGACCGTATTAGTTATCATCTTTTAATGTTAGCAACATTAAACAATTTAATGCTGGAGAATTCTGGGAGGTTAAACGTACTTGATGACATACACCTGAAATGGCAATGTGGTGGAAAACCAGAGACACATACAAATGGAATGTGACAAAATTTTATTGAATCAAAATTATGATATTCACCAACATTCCCTAAGTTACTATCCTGCACTGGCAAATGGTAAGTAATTTAGACATAGACAATAACATAAGAGATATCACATAACTTTATGAACTACAGCCTCTCAGCAGCTGGAGACTTACTGCCTCTACCCGGCAGTGAGCCGGATGACCCGGTCTGGCACCAGTCCTCACCTCCAGGCACTCTATCGTCACACACCGGGGTTTATACACCCGAACTGGCCCAGCTAGTGTCAGCTGGTAGGTAGTTTTGCTTGTTGCCACCTTCAAGTTGAAAGCTTGTAGTGTCTGCTCACCCCAAGTGCCTGTTATCAATATCGTTAATAATATTACACTCAACATTCTGTGGGATTTCTTTTATTAAAGCTGTTTGACATGAAACTCTCGTAACTGATGTTTAGTTCCAACTATTATGGAATGCAGTAAATGTTAACAGTAAATGCAGTTAACATATACGTGTTCTTTATATATACTTGTGAGCCACTAACACACTAGCGGCCTCGACGAGGATAGGAAGTCTGCGAAATTGTTGTCAGAAGTCCCTCCATTAGCCCTTACAATCTTTTCCAGTTGGATTTTAATATTTAACAACTTTGGGATTTACGGTTTCGGCGGGTATGCGGTTCCATGGGCTTATAATCCTGTGGGTGAAAAAAAACATATCCTGGCCTCAGTCCTACATTGTGGCTTGTTGAATCTTTTTCAAAATATGATCCTTTGAAGAAATTGTCTGGATCAACATTCTCTAAACTGTTCAATATTTTGAACGATTCAATGAGATCCGCCTTGTGATGCCTGGTTTGTGGTGTTGTTGGCCCTGTGACCCCCTCAACCTGTCCTGATATGAGAGTTACTCATCTATCCTTATCTTAATTATAGCATTTATACTTGGGGTTCTACTACTCAAAATCATCTACGTCCTCTAATTACTTAACACAAAGCTGCTATTAGAACATCAAATTCTAGCCCCAGACAGTACTCGGTACCCTTACTTATATTAAATCTTTGAATATGTTAGATATTAAGTCACTGCACATCCTCTCAAGTGTAGTCTATATATTTAAAACTCTGAACTGTAATGCTAATCCTGACCTTAAACGCTTCCTTGAAGGTTGTAACAGAACCCAAGGGCACCACACCAGAAACAGATACCTATTTAATATTCTAAGAGTGCGCTTTAACCAAACTAGATATGATCTACAAATCAAGGGACCCAGAATAAGGAATGACCTTCCCAATCATGTCAAAGGCTGTACCTCTCTCAATTAGTTTAAGAGGAAAACTAAGTACCACTTACCTTACTCCCTAAATGTTAACCAATGTCATGCTATTTTCAATCAATACTGTTTGTTGACCGTTGACTGTTAATTGCTGAATTCTGCATTGATCACCCCTCCCCTTTGTTTCCTTTTTCAACACAATTTATACTTTAATCTCAATTAGTATTCAGTTTTAGTCTAAGTGTTTCCCCCCACACCTTGTTCGAAACGCTGTGCGTATTAGTGGCTTTAGGTATTGTATGTACTGGCTCTATTTATAAATCCAACATTATGTTTGTAACTCATCTTTTATATGTGTACTTAAGCCTGAATAAACATTTGAATTTGAAATTTGAACTAATGGGTGGGAAAAACTGTGGGAACCGACCTGTGAGATTTATATTTATTTAATTTATATGAATTTATATTTACGTTAATTTATATACTTCGATAGCAATTTGCATAATGATAAGTGGACTGTATTTCTGCAATAATCTCAATCTCACAAATCGATCCTCTACACATTAGGGGGGTTTATATTATTTATATATATGCAGCCAATCAAACTACAGTATTAACTACATACATTGAAAAGGTTCCTTATCTTATAGTACAGCAGGTTATTCCACCAGGTATAACTAGGGTGTAGACACCAAATTATCCTCTTTGAGGTAGCTTCCATCACCCAGTAACTGGTGCACAAAAATCTTGCTTCCTCGTCTTGACCTGTCAAAAGGGCGCTAGCTGTGAAGCCAGATACCTATATATGACAAGCTATATCAGAGAAAATACTGTACATGGAACAATAAAGACCTGGTTTAATTACCTTTAGTTTGAGGCTTCCACGTGCTCTAACCGGGTCACCCTATATAATGACATTAATGGCCACTAATGATAGATAATGGGTTTCGGAAAGAACACTTAACTTGATTTGTAGACAGCGTGTTGATAATGGTACACTTCTGGTTTCCATAACACTACGTCCAAGTAAAATTAACAGGAGCCGAATTTGCTCCCGTGAGCCTCTGGTCTAGTACAAACAATGGCTGCATCTAACACTCCATACTATTGACGCCTGGCCGACATTGTCCAGATATGATAGGAGCCGAATTTGCTCCACGCGTCTCGGATGTGACACAACAATGGCTGCCCTCCTTCCTCCCAGACGCCTGGCTTACATTGTCCAGATTTCAGAAAGTGATAGAAGGGTCACATTTACTCTACTTTAATATTGATAATTAAGTTAATTTATATAAGATGTTTTTATGATGGTAAAGTCCAAAGACTAATGTATTTAAGAATAATTCCCACCATAATAGGTGGTGAATTATAATAGTATGTGGTGATGATATCCCATTTTCTTTAAACGGTAATTCCACTACAAGTTACGTTTTCTATGGGTAACTTGTTGGTACAATACAGCTATTATCTGTATGATATATTAAATGGTGTCGGATTTTCCGACATAATTCCCCAGGGGCTGCTCACGGGTCGAAGTCCTCTTTAGAACAGACGAACACCGATACTCCTCCTTCGAATTATTTGATTAATTTGATGTTAGTAGTTAGTAATCACACATTTGTGTGTCTGTTCGTACAGGACGGATGTCCCGTACTAGAGTTGCAGGGGTTAGAAGTCTAATGGGATTTCATTTCCCTGTCAACTCTTGAAAGGCTAATATTCAAGCCTTATTACATATTATTTAACTCAGAAGACTGAATGTGA